GAGGGGCAGGTGGAGACGTGAGGGCTCAGAGCCGGGCACAGCCCAGCACAGGTCCCCTCCTGTTTGCTTTCTGCATATTTCAAGTTAAGGCACAGCCTCTGTGAGGACTGTTCCCTTTCCTGTAATTTCTGCCCATGGCAAGAAGGCCGCCCTGGCACTATGGGGAGGGCAGTGCCCTCACTCTGTTCTGCCTTTCTTAACAATGCACCAAAGTAAAAGTGGCACATCTGCTCCCTGCCCCAGAGAGCACACCTGGAGAGGGGCTTAGAGGGCCTGGAGGTGCTTCCACTGTGGTCTTGCGCTCTCAAGTGTGGTCCTGACTGAGCACCCTCAACTTGGCAGAGGTGCTGGACCCTGGGCATGTTTCCCCTGGGGTCACTGAGCCCTGGCTCAGCTTGCCCAGGGTGGGGAGCAGAAGTTTGGCCCCCAGGAGGGTGGTGGGGCCCTGGGAGGCCAGCTATGGGGTGGGAAGCCCATCATGGATATGAGGTTGGTCTCTGTGTCCATGGCCATGTGCTGCATGGATCCAGCCCTGCTGCTGTCACCAGGGGAGAGGCTGCACAGGTGCAGGATGGGTTTGGGTGAGCAGCAGCCATCAGGCCTCCCTTGCCAGGTGAGGACGGGGGCTGGTGGCTTGTCATCTCCTGAGGGTGCACAAGAGGTCTCTCTTCCCAGGGTGACACTGCTACTGGGGTGCCAGTGGCCTGACTGGCTGCCTGGGCCAGGGCAGCCCCAGCTCTGCTGGCAGGGCTTGTTCTGGAGAGGGGCATCCCCACAGCCAAGGCAGGGAGGGAAGCCCCAGGAGGGAACACCCTGCGTCCCTACAGTGCTGGAGCAAAGGTTCTGGTGAAAAAGTGTTTGGGCTTTTTCCTCATTTTAAATTTAAAACAAGTTCGTATTAAGTCTGCTCAATAATTAACTCAGTAATTCCCAGCCCTTCCCTCTGTGCATCCCCAGGGTCATGCAGCAGGTGCCAGGCTGTGCTGTGACACCAGGGGTTGCATCACCACCGTGTTCGGGCGTGGTGTCGGCACCGGAGCGGCGCAAACCATCACGGCGGTGACAGCTCGTGTGCGGAGAGGTGCTGAAGGGTTCTGGGGCATGCAGCTGGGCAAGGGGCACTTTGGTGGCACCGACACCCTGGGCTGGCAGGGACAGGTCGGGCAACGGCTGCCAAGTGGAGCCCACCTGATGTCCCCTGTCCCAGCACCATCAGGCCCTGGGCAGGTGTCCCACACATTTATTTTTAAAGCTGGCTTTTTTGGGGCACACTTTTTGTCCCTTCTACCTTCTTTTCCCAGACCAGTGACTTTAGCAGGAGCCAATTCCTCCCAGACAAGCCTGCTGGCTACAAAAGGGGTCAGGAAGGAGCCTTACTGGGCTCATCCTTACCCACTCCAGTGACATTGCCTGTGGCCAAGACTTTCCCATGTTGTGCCACGTAGCGGCTGATGAGTCACCATGGAGCAATCACCTCACCTATGCTGACGCCAGCCCTGTCCTCAGCCATGTTTCACTTTCCTTCTTGCACATGGAACTTCCGAACTTCCCACCCACCTGGGATTTCTTGCTCCAAGCAAGTTCGAGTGGCTCCAGCCTGCTGGGCCATGTGAATCCAAGGGGGTTCCACCATCACCCTCTGTGCCGCTCTCCTGGCACAGCGCTGTCTGCAGCCGGGGCTGGAGCGATGGCTGTGGTGGGTCCCCAGTGTCCTGCAGACCCTGCTAGGCACTGTGTGGTGTCCCCAGCCCATGCTGGCCTTGGAGGACCCTCCTCTGCCATGGCAGGAGCTGCCAGTGGCATGGTTTGGAGGAGCTGTGGTGAATTCAGCCAGGCCTTGCTGGCTGGACTGTGATATGGTGGAGCATGGCATCACCATCACCATGTGAGACGCATGCCAAGGCCCAGGATGGAAAAATCCCTTGATTCTGTTCAGCCAGGCACCTGGGGGTTTGGCTATGGCTGCAGGTGAGCGTGGCACAACTACCTGAGCAAGGCACCCAGGGGGGATCCTCACCCCACCCTGAGGGCCAAGGGCCATGCTCACGGCCTGGCTTCAGCCTCCAGCTTTCACTTTTCTTCGGTGCCTCTGAATTTCCTTTTGCGTGTGTGAGGACACGAGGTTTCGCTTTACTTCTCCAAACAGAAATGACACCTGGGACATAAAAGCCACAGTGATGGGAAACAGGAGCCAAAGCTGGGTCCCACGGGGCTGTGATGCTGCTGTGACCAGATGGGTGACCCAAGAGTGTCTCGGCAGGGATCTGTGGTGGGGGACAGTGGTTCATGGTAGATCACCCCTCTTTCATTGGGGGACACTTTTCTTTTTCACAACTGCTGGGATTTTCTGCTGAGGTGCTACCTATTCCAGCTGAGCTGTGCCTCGCTTGAGCAACATACATGGCATTATTTATGCTGCTTTGGGCTTTTATTTCAAAGCTGTATCAATCATGGACTTTGTTGCATTGAATAAAAATTATTCTTCTAAGTCTGTGGTTTTCTTTAATGGGAGAGAAAGGAAACAGAGCTGTTGTCCTGTTTAGTGAGAGGGCAGGCAAAGGAGCCAAGCCCAGGGCTCAGGCTTTTAATTACTGACCTTACCCACCCTGCTACCGGGGGGAGGCTGGCACGGGAGCCTGGTCCTGTGGCCATATCTGTGGCTGGAAAACCTGTGCCCACCACGCTTTTACCAGTCTTTTGCTGTCCTGGCTCTTCTCCAAGCTGTATCTGCATCCAGCTTGGTCAAGGTGGAAATAGTCGCTGTCCCATCCATGCTGCCCTCTCCTCCTCCTTATTTCCATCATGGTTTTCCAGGAAAGACCTGAGTAATCTGAGATACTGCTGGAGCAGAAGAAGGGCTCAAGAAGGGCTGGATGGATCTGGTGAGTCAACAGCTGGTCCTGCTCTGCCTCTTCAGAAATTATCTGGACAATGAGGCAGAGGGTACTCTGGGGGTACCAAGTTTTGTGGTAACACCAAACTGGGAGAAGTGGATGACACAGCAGGGACTCACGCTGCTGTCCACAGGGACCTTGACAAGCTGGAGAAATGGGCTGATGGAACCTCCTGAAGTTCAACCAGGGAAAGGGCTAAGCCCTGCACCTGAGGAGGAACAGCCCCAGGCAGCAGGACGTGCTGGGGGCTGCCCAGATAGAAACCAGCGTGGCAGAAAAGGACCTGGGGTCCTGGTGGGCATCAGGTTGAACATGAGCCAGAAACATGTCCTTGTGGCAAAGAACTGAATGGTATCTGGGACTGCACTGGGAGCAGTGTTTCCAGCAGGGTGAGGGATGTGATCCTTCTCTTCTACTCAGCACTAGTGAGGCCACCCCTGGAGTGCTGGGTCCAGGTTTGGGCTCCCCAGGGGGAGAGAGTCATGGTACACACTGGATAGAGTCAAATCAATGTCATGAAGATGATGGACAGGAACATCTCTCCTATAAGGAAAGGCTGAGAAAGGAGGCTTAGGGACTCTTGGTGGTGCCTACTGACAGCATAGCAGAGAAAAGCTACAATCTGAAACATGAAAATGCATCTGAACACAAAAGAACACTCACAGAGAGACTGTGGAGTTGCCACTCCATCCTTTGAGATATTTAAAACTGGACACAGTCCTGGGGAACCCATGCTGGCTGACCCTGCCAGAGCAAGGATTGCACTGGATGATGTCTAGAGATCCCAGTCCACCTCCATGACCACGTCCATGCCACTCTGCCCACTCATAGGTGTATCTTTCCATGGGCTTGCTCAAGAACTTTTTTTTTCTCTTCGCCTCTTTGAAATCACCAGTTTATTTCCAAATGCAAACACTAAAAGTCAAGTCCTTCTGGAGCAGTGTTTTCCTGTGTATGGCCACCATGGGAGACACTGCATTTATGCCTGTTGCTGCCTTACTGTCTTGGCTTTTTAGATCCAGGTATTGCCCTAATTTTCTGTATTTAATGCTTGATGAACACATGAAACTAAAAGCCCAGCAGCAATTGCAGGAGGTTACCTCGAGAGAAGGACAATTGGCTGAACGGGGGCACCATTCCCGCTGTCACTGGAGGGATGTCAACACACCACATTTGTGTTTCCAGGCTGAACAGGGAGGGAAACCCAGCTAATCCCAGCGGCCTGTAGGGTGGTAGCCCTGCTCATTTCCGGCAGCCTCCCTTCACAGCTCTGTGTCCCACCTGGAAAACGTTAGGTGGAAGTGCTTCTGCTTTCACCCTTTTCCCTGCTTTGGTGGCGAGCCTGGTCCCCCAGGATAACACAGACATAGAGCTCATGCCTGCTGCCTGTGCCGTGCAGTGCCTGCTCCCTGCTGCTGCTTTCCCCCCCTCCCTGCCATGGCCCTTTCTATAGGGACACCGAGGCACGGACTCCTGCTGCCACTCGGGAGGCACTGTAACCCTCCCGGCCACCCCGAGTCTGCTGTCCCCGTGGGGCTGCGTGCCTGGGCTCTCCCGCAGCTCTCAGCGTGGGGCGGGGCTGGGTCGTGCCCGGTGTCCCCGCACTTGCCAGCACTCGGCGTGGCAGCGGCGTCCCCCCACTCAGCCCCCTCGGGGGCGTGTGCTGGAGGCAGCCCGAGCATCCCTCATCGCCGGTGCGCTCGCCCTGTCGAGGCGGAGCAGGCGGCAGGGCTGGAGGCAGCAGCGCAAGTAACGGAGGCGGAATTCCCGCCGCAGCTTTCGCTTTCCTGTTTCCAGAGCTGTCAGGTCGTGGATTTCCCTGCCAACGTGAAAGCAGTCACACCGGGCAGGTGGAATAAAAAGCCGGAGAGATGGGGCAGCAAGGCATCCACAGCCAGCAGAGCAGAGCAAGGAAAGAAGCTCCTCAGGACAGCCCAGCATCTCCACAGCTGAGAGAGCCACCTGTGGCACCTGTCAGGCACCTCTGCATCAGGAGTTTAGCAAGTCCTGCCCGGAGTCCTCTGATTCATCCTCTTTGGCATCTTGCACCGCAGCCTCCTTACCCCATCGTAACCCACTGCTCACCATCGAGCTTTCATCAACAAAATGCTGTGTCTCCACCTCACCTCACTGCTTGTGCTGGTGCTGGGGGTCAGCCTGGGGGCTGCCTTTCCCCACAACACCCTGAGGAAGGGCTGCAGCCTGTTCAAGTACAAGCAAGTCACGTTCGATGAGAAGAAGGCTGTGAAGAAGATGCAGAAGGAGTTTGTGAGTATCGCTGGCAATGGGGGCTGTGGGCTGGGGAGGGGGGGCAAGGCAGAGGAGATGCTGAATTTGAGACCTGAGTGACAAACTGGATGTTTTCTGCAGCAGTCTGGGGAGGAGGAAGATGTTTTTCATGGGAGTTTGGGGACATGAAGGATGCTGGGCCAAATTTTGTCCTGGTTTGAAACCACATGGCTGGCAGGGTTGCACAACATCGCCAGAAGTCACAATGACAGTTGTTCAGTCTCTCTCTTGGTTTGTGCCTGCAGCGCAGCATCAGGCAGCCGGGCCGCAACTGCGACACCGGGCTCTTGGATCGGAAGTGGATGTCGGCACACCTGTCGGTAAGAGCAAGGTGATGCTGTGACAAGGGGGCACAGCTCTCCTCTCAGCCAGTCCCACCCTCACCTGCACCCCAGGCAGGTCTTTGAGACTGCCCTCCTCCAGCCCTGGCTCTTTGGGTCCCTAACCACACACTCCTGCCGCAGGTGCCCGACCGAGTGGTGCTGGTGGAAGCCGAGCTGAACTTCACCATCACGATGCTGCAGCTCTCCACCCACCCCGGCTTCACCAAGATGCGCCAGCGGCCCCTGGCCTTCCTCGCCCAAGCCCGTGAGGATCTGCGGGGCTGTGTGAGTGCCCCCCGAGCCCCCCACCCCGTGCCAGCTCCGTGGCCCTGGCATTGTCGGCAGCACTGCGGGGCATCGCTGGTCCTTACCCTGCCATTTCCCTTGCAGGTGGCCCCCTCGCATCAGCCCTCTGGGGAACTGAGCCGGTGGCTGCAGAACCTGCAGGTGGCCATGAATATGGTAAGTTGGGTCAGCGGGGCCAGGGGGTCTCGGGGTGTCAGTGACCGCACGGCTGCACCCTGACCCCGTTGCTAACGCAGGCGCTGTCCCCGCCGCACGAGAACACCGGCTGCCTGCAGGACTACGCCGTCCGCCACGTCTTTGAAGTGCTGGAGGACCTGAACTGCGCTGCCCTCCAGGAGCAATGCTCTTAGCCCCCGCCACCGGCCCCAAAGGACACCCGAGGACCGGGAAAAACAACTGCTATTGCATTGCTGTACTGTACTTAAGCCTTTTTCTTACTCATGTGAGCTCAGGGAACAATTTTTTTTCACAGTCTTTTAAATTATTGGGGTTTATTGTGTGCTTATAAATGGCTCAGGAGGAGCTGAAGAAATGCCCCTCCTGAAAGAATGGCAATGCACGTATTTATTGGATATCTTTATTTTGCTAGTTTTCAAAATGTTTTTAAGGAAATGTATTTTTTCACCTGCTATTTATTACAGAGTATATTTTGCATATTTTCCTGTATAAATTATTTTCTTGTATGCCATTTAATAAAATAGATACCATAAGCAGACAAGCTGCCATCACATTTTTTACTATGCTTTGCTGTAATACAACAGCAGAGGTATCACACACACATCCTTGCAAGGACATTGTCCAAATGAAACCTCATTCCATTTAATTTGGGGACAGGGAGGGAGAAAGGCCTGGATGTTGGGCTCTTTGGGGAGCTTTAGTAGATTTTATCTCCTGGCCATGCCCCATCTGCTGCCACCTGATGACAGGAGCAGCACCTGAGGCAATGAAAACCCATCAGGAGGGAAATGCCCTTGGGCCAACACTACAGACAGGCAGGGAAAGCCCCAGAGGTGTGTCTGGAATTGCACATGGACTCCTGGATTTGGTTACAGCGAGGCACAGCTAATCTCTCAAAAACAGCTGCACCAATGCTTTGCCTGTGTGGCCACAGATTCCCAGGAACAGGCAGATGCCATCAGTGCCTGTTTGGGATCCAATCCCCTGACCCTGCTCGCTATTTGACCCCTCGGTTTTGAAGTCTTGCAAGAAATCCCTTTCTCTGGAGCCTATGTATAGTCAACATCTGGCAGGGGAGGTTGTTTCTAGAACATTTCTGGACTAAAGTGCTGTGCTGTGATAGCCAAACAATACATGCATCTGGAGAGAAAAGCCTAAGGAGGCAAGATGGTGTTTATTCATCCTCCAAAACAGATGTATTTAGGTTGTCCTGCTCTCACTGAGGTATCTATCAAGGCATTGTTCCTTCTGCCAGGCAAAGGCTGTAGGCTGTAGTGATGGGGCAGCCAGGCTCCTCAGGAGCTGGGAGCAGGAGTGGTGAGGACAGCTGGGAAGTGCAGCTGGCCAGCGTTAGCCTAATGCCCCTGCCAGCTTTTTGTAGCTCAGGGTAAGTCCTCTGTTTTTCCTGGAGGGTGACTGGAGGTGGGCAAGAAGCACTTTAGCTTTCCCTGCACACTCACAGAAGGAGTGCCAGGAGGGAAATACTGGGGAGTCAGAGCCTAAGCCAATTTAAGGCCTCTGAGTACGGGTTCTGTGCTGGTTTAACTAGATTTCAGTCAGCAAAATTCCAATTTCTTTTTTGGGAGGAGGTGGTGGTATCATTCCAGTGAAGGTTTAGGACACAGTGAGTATTTCAGCAGCTGTCAGCCAAACGTTCCTTGTGTTCGGTCTCCAGCTTTGCCTTATCACACTTTCTAACCTGGATGCTGCTTTCATGCCTGGTTCCCTTATTTAATGGAAGCCACCAAATGGAAGAATTTAACTTTATGCACCTATTTTACAGGTGGAGGGGGCTGATCTAACACAATTGTTTAAGTTTCTAAAGATTTTGGTCGGTCTATTTATGATACCCAGGTAATTCACTCTCAATTACTAAATACGCTCTTATGATCCTTTTTTTACAGAGATTTCATCTGATTCAGTGTTGCTCCCATTTGATTCACTATTGCCTCCACTAATCTGCTGCTGGAATGCACAAATAGTCTATTAATTTAAGCGGGCACTAAGGCAATGGTTGCAGCAAGCCTGGTTATGTTCCACTTGTGAAACCACCCTGACAATTGTTGTTTTTTTCCCTTCTTGCTGTGTTGCTATTTGCCACAGACTCAGTGTAATTTATATTGTAACTGAATCACCCCCTTTTCCACAGCTCTATGAGGGGACTGTAAAATAATGGAATGTATTGGAATGGGCTGCCCAGGGAGGTGGCGGAGTCACCATTCCCTGGAGGTTTTTAAGGAAAGACTGGACGTCTAGGTGACACGGTGGTGTTGGGTCCTAGGTTGGACTCGATCATCTCACAGGTTTGGGTTTTTTTTTTCCAACCTATTTGATTCTGTGATCCCAAATCCCAAATCTTCATTCGCGAAGCCTAGCCATGATGATGATGATTCTGTGATTCTGCCTACAAAAGGTGAGAAAATTGAGCCTGGGGCCACATAACTCAGCCGGAAGACCTCAACTCCCCTCGGGCACTGGGAGACACCGCTCCCGCTGCCACTGAGGGGGCGACCCAACATGGCGCCGCCCTCCCGGCGGCCAGCGGCCGCCCCTCGCCGCCGCCACCGCCGCCAAATCTCGCGAGAATCCCGCGGGCGCACTGCCCGGCCCTACCCTCGCTCTCGCGAGATCTCCGCTGGAGGAGGGAGGGAGGAGGAGGAGGAGGGGAGGGAGAAGAAGGAGAGAAGGAGGAGGAGGAAGAGGAAGAAAGAGTCCGAAGGAGCTGCCGCTCCTGCCCGGGCCGGCGCCGGGGATGGTGTTGGCCGCGGCAGCCGGGCCCTGACGCCGCGCTCAGGTACGTGCGAGCCGTCCCCCTTCCCTCAGCCCTCCCTACCCGGGCCTGGCCCCTCCCGGCGCCCCCACAACTCCCGGGGCGGTCCCGGCCCGCCGGGCCTCGGGGCACACTTGTGTCCCCCGGCCCTCGGAATCCAGCGATCCCCCTGCCTCTGCGGAGGGGCTCCCGGGCCGCCGCTGCCTCCGCTCCCGGCGGAGCTGGGGAACTCCCGGGGCCCTTGCGCCCTTCCCTATAAATAAGCACAGTCTCCCCTCCCTGGCCTGTTTCTCCGGGGTCTGCAGCGGGGAAGCTTTGCTTGAACTGTTGGGGGCTTCCTTGCCGTGCTCCGCTGGAATTTGGGGTATAGTTGAAGCGAATGATTTCTTTTTCACAGTGATCACGCTTCTCTTGGGTTTCCCGGTTTTCCGGGACAAGCTATAAAGATATTTGGACATTTAATGCCTATCAGAATTGATTTAATTTGGAATTGACACCTAAACGATGGGGGGTTTTTGGAGTGGAGGGGTTGCCTGCAATTTACAGATTTATTTCTTTTCATGTAGAACACCGTTCAGTACTTCCCAGACTCCCCTACTTCCCCCCCCCCCTTTTTTTTTTTTTAAGCAGCTGTTGGTTTTCCCTCCTCCAAAGAAAAAAAGATCTGTGTTCTCTGCTTATTCTTCCTTTCTCTGGGGTAGCAGGATGAAAAAACTTACTGTATGTTTCAGTTGAGCCAGCTGGATTTTACATTTACACCCTAACGTTACTTTTGTTTTTAAATATATTTTGTAGCTGACACACACATTTGTCAGCTCCAGAGAACCTGACCTCCTTGTAGATCTCACCAGAGTTTCATACTGTTAGGGACTATTGTGAAATATATGTTTCCCTTTTTTTAAGGCTTTTTGCTCAGTTATCTATAATGTCTTTCTCAACCCCCAGGTAAGGATTATACCGTGACTTTTTGCAATTTTTCCCCTTTATTTGGTTGAATTAATTAATATGATTTAAAGGATAAACGTTTCTCCTACCATTTTAGTGGTGGTGGGGCCTGAAGGGTTTTGATCTTGTCAGCATTATGTTGGTTTTGCCAAACTTAAGAAGAATGAGTTGCCTTCAACTAAGAATAGTTACAAAATGTATTAAGCCATGACAGACTGGATGCTTTGGTTTAATGACTTTGGCATTCTGTCCACCTTTTATTGTAATTATTTATCAGTGCAGTTATCTTCTGGAGTGGCTGGGTAACACAGCAAAACTCTATCTTCATTTCAGTTATTGAGTCTCACACCTTTTTGCACTGTGGAGAGTTCCTGTTGTGCAGCTGCGTGGATCATTGCACTGTTTGCAGCTTAAGTCTTTTTTCTGTGTCCTGGGAGCTGCCTCAGAGCTCACTTCCCAGGGTTAGAGAACAGTTCCAGTGATCCCTCCCCTTTCTCTTTGTTATTTCTTATATTTTGGCCAGCTGAAAAGCAGCTCTGAACACTGTCCTGGGAGGTGTGGATGAGGAGGCTGTAGCAGACTGTCTGGCAGGGGTATTCCCACAGCAGTTCTTAGGAAGGAGCAGTGTCAAGCAGTGAAATTGCATTGTAAACACTGATGTAAGCCTGACCTTTCTCCTGCAAAACTGACCTTCCCCTTGGCCTAACAAACTGTAGCTCTTTCAGTATTCACAGCCCAAACAAAATCTTTCTCTGAGCCATCCTCATCTTTAATCACAGTTGTGTGAGCTGTGTGCAGCGTATTCTGTGTTTGGCTGCTGAGAGTGTGATGGAAGTTCGTTCCTTATTCAACAGCTGTGAGTTGTTTTCATACTGCGCCTCCAGTGCTTCGTTTCTGGTGATGGGCTTTGCTCTCCCTCTGTGTTCCAGGTGGAAGCAGCAGGAATGCTAACACTGGCAAGCAAGCTGAAGCGGGATGATGGTGTCAGAGGACCCCGTGCGTCCAACCCGGCGTCGGACTCTACTCGGAGGGTGTCTGTGCGAGATAAATTACTTGTTAAAGGTGAAAGGGACTTGTATGGAAATATTTTGGGGGTTACGGTTTGCGGGTGTGGTGCCAGTAAACAACACTAAATTGCATAGGAATTTCCAGAGGTGTTTTTGAAATGGCTTGTGACTTACCTCAGGATTGCTGCTGTAGGGTGTACACTGACATACATCTCATCTCCAGCAGCTCTTTGCCTGTAGGACACTTGTTTTCATTGAATAGTGAAAACCAGAACAAGTGTCCTCCTTACTCTGCTGAAAAATTAACCCATTATAAGGAACTCTGTCATTAATTAAATCATGATAAAAATTGCCACATGAGTATCTAAACATATAGGAGGAGAATATCAACAATAGTATATTTGTCTTGATAGGAAGGTGTTTTTTTGAGCAAAAACATAACTGCCTGTGA